TAATGCAGTCTAGTGCAGTCTAGTGTAGTCTAGTGTAGTCTAGTGGAATTTAGTGCAGTCAAGTGTAGTATAGTGCAGTATAGTGCAGTCTAGTGCAGTTTAGTGCAGTCAAGTGTAATATAGTGCAGTGTAGTGCAGTCTAATACAGTAGATATACCATATGATTTATCTAAATTACTAGAAGACAATGGATGAGCGATTCCTGTATTTAGGAAAAMSGAGCAACGAACAGACTTGTAAAGAACTTCAAGGAAACCTGAAAGAATTCAACCCAAGACTAGTTACACTTTCTACTTTAGCTCAAAAAGGAGACGACAAGGTGATATCGTAATATATTGATCAATTAATTTGCTTGGTGAAGCCTTTCTTTGCTTTAAAATATTTGTGTTTTCGTTAATGCGTTGTTGACCAAAGGCTTGGTGCGCAAATATTTGATTTGTAATGACTGGTTTTTATCAAGAACTAAGTAAACGAAAAAGTAAAGTTTCCAACTACTAGAACAAAATGTCCAAAAGGAATAAGCTTTTGTCTAATTAGAGGGGTTGAAAAGTGTGAGTTTGGTTTGTTAAATGGCGCGAAAATGTGGAGGAAGGTCAAAAATTTGAACCTCTCTGGAGGGTCAAACCTTTTTATTTTGACGTCAGTATCGTAATCGAAGGACTTTCTCTAAGTTTTTTTCCTTGTCAAAATAAAACCTTTATTTATTGGTTATTTTATATGGTTTATCCAAATCCAGCTTGTGGATAAGTTTCTTACAGAAAATGTGCAGATTGAAGGAGATGTTAATCAAAAGATTCAAAGCCAACTTTATATTGGTAATTAATTATTTTTATTATTTAGCTTTGATAGTATGTGCATGGTTGAGAACTGTGTTTTAATCGATAGTTAACTCAGGCACAGTGCTGACACCAACCGTGCATGTGTTTCCATCTTTGTGAAGAAGCGTAAGAAAATAAGGAATAACTATAGAATACCCCACCAAATGAAAGCCATTTCTAAGGAATATGCATGGTCTAATTGGTGATTAATTCTTTGTATGAATTCTCAGTGTATTTTTCATCGCGTCTCTCTGTCTATGTAGCCAATTCAGCCTACGCGCCTACTCAGCCTACTCAGCCTACGCGCCTAGGAACCCTTTGTTTATTCCTACAAAGCCTTCCCTAATCCTAACCCTAAACCTAACCCCAAGGTACTAGGAATGCGTAGGCGTGTAGGCAGCCTACTATGATACTTTTGCTTGCGGGGTATTCTATAGTTGTACTGAAAATAGCAATAAAAAAGAATAGCCAATTTTTCTTCTTTATTTACTGCGGTTTTTTCGATATTCTGTGACTCAGACATTTCAATGGCTTATTGTGAAATTGTTTTTTAACTGCCACCAGTCAACAATATAAAAGGTACCGACCGATTATTTTTGATTGATGACAACGACAGACAAAATTTTAACATGCAGGTCACAACTACATACCAAGTTCGCAGAATATTAAGAAAGCACAGTAAAACATACAACATACTTAAATTGCTTCCCCGGGGGTTACACGTACGTGGTAGGAGTGATTGGTGGTTGGTTTTGAAAATGGCCTTTAAAAGGTAAATGTATGCATAAACTAAAACAGCTGTTGAAGCTTATCTAAACTCCTAAAAGGAATGACCATACACTGTATGATTGAAAGTGATTGTGCTGATACCGTTTAATCAGTGACTCGACAACATCTTTCTTCTGTTCTTCAATGTTTGTTCTATAAACCTCTAACACTTGGCAAAGGGAGTTACCTCCCCCCCCCCCACCCCCGGCCTCCTCTTCCCAGGATTGCTTTGTTAGTCTCTATTGGATTCACCATTTTTTTCTCTAGCTTCGTTTTGGGGATTTTATGATGTGGTAAAAAGTCTGCTGGATAATGATGCAGGTAAATAATTATGGATACACAATACGATAACTAAAGATATATAAATAATCCTGTAATGATGAAAAGGTAAATTATACACCATGAAAAGATGAAAAAACTTACTGACGTTTCGGACGCTAGTCCTTTGTCGGAGTAAAAAAAAGGACGAAGGACTAGCTTCCGAAACGTCAGTAAATTTTTTCATCTTTTCACAGTGTATAATTTACCTTTTCATCATTACTGTTGCATTAGAAACACCGACGCAGCTCACACTAGTTTTTAGCTAGTTATATCTTTTTATAAATAATCCTGATTATCAACAATAAATTGTTACAAGTTGTTTTAATCATTTACTGTACGATAAGGATACAGTGCTTTTATTCACAGTGTTTTCCATTTGAAAATACTGTCCAGTTTTTGATCATCTTAGTGAACGTTTACTGAGTATTTGAACTGTATGTTTATCAGATCTGAATGTGAAAAACAAGGGCACAGGATGGACGCCACTTCATGCCGCAACATTCCAGGAGCATGGAAAGGTGTAGTATTATTTTATTCTCAATACATAATCATGATAATAATGATATTTATTTATATAGTGCAGATATATAAAATCCTCTCTGCACTTAACAATTATGATAAAAAGAAGAAAAATAAAAACAAATAAGTGCACACATTGAGTCAGCTTTTTTCAAATATTAATATACCCTCAAATTTTACTAATACCTTGGAAAGACCTCTATGCTGATCAAAGTCAAGGCTAGTCAGCTAATTTAAACACTCAGATGGAATTGGGATTTAGTGTGCTATATTTTTTTTTGAGGGAGGAAAACTCAGGAGAACCGAGAGAAAGATCCTTAAATCAAGGAAGAAACCCAACAACCTCTAAGCCATGTGATGCTAATACTTGGTTATGGCTTTGAATATCATGAGTTCTGATAAACTGGGATTTATTTATTTATTCTTTAGATTATAATGCTTCTTTTAGAAAGACACGCTGACCCTGAAATCCATGACTCTGAAGGAAGGTAATTTTCAAATGCACAGGGCAACTTCTTAAATATATATAGTACACTGTACATGTCATTCTGGCTCTGGTAACACACAAATCGACCGTTAATTTGATTGGTTTATATTTTTTGCATAATCATCAGTTTCTGGTTTGCTGACTTTACAGACAATGGTTGGACTTTGAATACTTAACCTACGCATCTAGGGTCTCTCTAAATTGCTTATTTTTTGGAATGTTAATCACAGACAAATACATTGTTCCGTAAACAATGTATAAATAAGCTTGATTGTTTTTCTTTTGAAGAAGAAAAAAGTTTGAATTTAACCAGAAAGCAGACTGTGTGGAGTATGCACATATCTGATGACCTAGGATCTGGGTCTTCTGGTTTGTGTGCAGAGCCTTCAATGTTTTTATGAGAAGGGTCTAGGTATGAAAATGTAGTACCTGCATGGTTATGTAGTATAGAGTAGACCCCCAAAGCACCAACAAGCAACTGACTAAATATGTAGTACTCACACATGACACCCAGGCAAGGAATTGGACCAGGGTTGCTTTGGTAAGATGCTAGCACTTCCACATCTCTGTGCCACCAGTCTTCCCACACAATATTTGTTGCAGTTATTGTACATCTACTCATACAACAATAAGTTTGCTTTAACAGTAGGTCCTACTTTACGCAAAATTATTTTGAGACTCAACAATTCTTTTTTGGTCTTTAAAGAACACCAAAAGATTTTGCTTCAGCTTCAGACAAGATTTGGCCTCATTTTGCAGCCCTAGGCTGTACCAGGACAAAAAAACAGGATCTCATTGACAAAGGAATCATAAGAAAGGTAGGGAAATGTATACAATAGTTGTTTTTATGCCTTCTCAAGTTAGTGATTCACACTGAACCCATGCATGCATTACTCAATATAAGTGCACATATTTATGTTAAGCAACTGCTTCATTCAAATCATTAATTTAAGCTGAAAATTTGAAAAAAACAACCTCTTGTTTCCCAGTTAACGAATGATGAAATGGATATTACGAAAGCTGGTATCAGACCTGGGTCTTCATCAAAACTAGTAAGTATAGCATATATCTGATACTCCTCTCCAAAGTATCCCACCATGCATCAGATCGACCAAAGAAGTGATTTTAATTACATTACCAAAGCATGGTGCAGTGCTCTAAGACCTAGTGAGAAATACAGCACAAAACATTACAATTCCCCCTCAAATTATCCCATGATGCATCAGAATATGAAGAGCAGGAAGGTAAGGAAGGTTTATCCCGAATTTCTCACCTCCTTTTGTCTAAACCTTCTTTTGTTCTTAATTAAACAAAAGGTGAGAAATTCGGGATAAAATCGCATGCGCAGTGGAATCGATTCTTAAACTATGAAAAGGCTTATAAGAGTCAGTTCTAATAATGAAAAATAAGTACAATTGTATCTTTGAGGCTTTCACATTTAGACATGATGATATTGAATGTAAAATAATGGATAAAATATTGGGTAGATTTGGAAAAAACATGACATTTCTGCTACAACTAGTGTTAGCCTTCATCAGATTGATGATGAAAATGTGTGAAGCGCATATATGTAAGTGTCCTCTTCCCATGCTTCTTCTTCTACATGTTTGATCCGTAATCTTACATTCAATAATACATATATTCACAGTTCTTGCATTTTGGGTTCATACTGCTGCTCTCAGAAAATACACAAGCCAACTACATTCTTTCCCATGGTGTCCATTAATGATACATCAGATTGAGCAGTGAAGTGATGTGGCCGGGTTTTATGATTATCTTAAGATTCATGAGTTTTGTTGAACAATAAAATAAAAGATTCAACAAGCGTTATATGTACCAGTGAGAGCTAGTATTTAATTGCTAAGACTGTTAAAAGTTTCTAAACTCAGCTTTCTCCTTTTCAAAAAGGATTGTTTTCCCTCTTAGTAGAGTCTATTTTTCATTTGGTATTAACGGGAAGTGAGGAATAAAATTAGATTCTTTCAATGTAGGACGTAATGCTTGTCAGGCATGCATGAGGTAACTTAGTTGATTATAGGGTTAACCTCAAGGTCCACCTTTTCTAATTCCAGTCGTGTATTTGAATTTGAATAAAGCATTATTAGTAAATAGAGGTATACCATTCAATTTCCCCTTTTTTTGCTTTTTTTCAAGGCTGCTTTTTCAAGACCAGGATCAGCATATGTACTAAAAAGAGATCCATTTTTTATTGGAGATTCAGGTAATCCTCAAGCTACATATTGTTACTAATTAAAAAAAAAATGAATAAATATTTATTTGACATCATGATGCACTCAGTTCTTTCCCTGTCTCCCTAGCCAGAGGCTAATGTTTACATGCTGTATGTACATGTAGCACACTCCACACTTTATTTTATGTTTATTGGTTTATAAGTATAATGAAACAATACATACACACAAATACTTAAATCAATATGAACTAAAGAGGGAGGAAAAAAAGTCACAATCATAACGAAATTACAAAATAAACTAAACACTCAAATAAACACTCTACACTCACTAACAAGGAGGGAGGACAACTGAAGAGTCAGGCCTGATTGTACGAAGAGTGGATAGCGCTATCTGGACCGGTTGTACGTAGAGTATAGAGTGCTATCTGGTGAATAAGTCCTAATCCAGTGGATAAAGTGATGCAGTTATCCAATAAATTTATCTACTGGATAAGATTTATCAGTGGGATAGCGCTATTCACTCTTCATACACGTACAACCGGGCCCTGATGGATAAATCCTTATCCAGTGGATAAGTCAATGTTGTTATTCAATGATTAGTTATCCACTGGATAAGATTTATCTGTCGGATAGTGCTATTCACCCTTTGTACAACCAGGCCCAGGAGAATAAACCTTCTGGCAAGGGTGAAGACAACACAAGCTCTATTGAGATCTGTGATCAAGAATCAAACCAACCAACTTTTCCACTCTATTATAGAGGGTAGACAGTAACCCATTCTATTTTTCAGGATCATCACCTACAGCTAATGATGTTTTGGGTACTAACTACAGCATGGACAAACCAGCTGAAACTAAGCAGGAAAACCAGCCTACATTCTCTGTATGGAGATCTTAAAGCAAACATGGTGCATCATGGTCTAGCTTGAGTACAAACCTTTTCCTAACAAAGTAAGCCAGATACATTTTGGTATAGTTTGTGTACAAAACTCCTTTTCCTCACCAAGTAAACATGATGCATTGTGGTCTAGCATGGGTACAAAACTTCTTTTCCTCACCAAGTAACCAAGATGCATTGTGATCTAGCGTGGGTAAAAAACTTTTCCTCACCAAGTAAACATGATGCATTGTGGTCTAGCTTGGGTAAAAAACTTTTCCTCACCAAGTAAACATGATGCATTGTGGTCTAGCTTGGGTACAAAACTTCTTTTCCTCACCCAGTAAACATGATGCATTGTGGTCTAGCTTGGGTGCAAAACTTCTTTTCCTCATCATGCCTAATTACATGATGGTTTCTTCCATACAAACCCTGTAATTTTATTCCTCTCTGACCCCTTCCCTCCAGAATTACTAGTTTAATTAGTACTTTTTCCTGGGCATATTGTGTGCATTCTGATGATTTAAAGAGTTATTATAYTTATTAACATGTCGTTACATTTTAAGATTAATATATTTTACACTAAATTATTAGAAGAATAATTCTATAAACTTGTACATAAAAGAGTTTGAAAGTGTTTTTTATTTTATAAAATAAAGTTGATACAAGGTTTACATAACAATGTGGCATATTGTGCAATATACTGCTTTTACTCGTTTAAGTGCTGCAGCATGTATTAATTTTTTTGTTTCTTTTTTTTGCATCAATTCTGGGGTGGCATTTATTCAAAGGTGCCACTTATCTTCTTAAATGTGTTTACCACATTCATAATGTGTAACCAATGTTTTAATACAAAGTGAATGCAAGTTACGTTTAAAAAATACAAAATACCAATGTTTTTCTGGTATGGCTATAAAGAAAACCACTATAAAGGCAGCACTCATTCGCGGTGTTCAATTGGGGGCAGTGCTTAAACAAGTAAATACAGTATCCATCATATTTATGAGTAAGGGTCCATTCATTTACATTATCATATTATTACATTGAGTATTTTCTACCCTCAACTCGTTTTGCGTCGCTTGCCAAGACCTGTCTTGTGACAACGACCTAGCTTCTATCTGGTTGATTTCTAATCTAACAATATGACCACCAAAATATCTCAATTGTGATTGGGCTGGTATGTGTTGGATCTTTGAAATCATTGCAAATAGGGTGAAATCAGTGAGCAAAAAAAATCATAAAATTTAAAAACATTTTGATGGTCATATTATAAAAGAAAATTGGGTTTTTGGGTTTTTGTGCAGTTTGGAAAAAATATCACTAGTGCAGTTTAAAATCAAGATTTTTAAATTGAACTCACCTCTGGCTTGTGGAATTGAAAATCTTGATTTAAACTGCACTTGTGAAATTGTTTTCAAACTGTACTTGAACCTTTTCGATTTCCTGTATACGAAAGTGATTCCCAGCCCCCTTTAACACCCAGATTTTTTATTATTGCTTCTTAACTTGGCAAAAGTGCTTGTGAAATTAATACCTATTTTTCATATTTAACTAATGACAAACAAAATTCTGAATGTCTGTGTTGACGTTTCAGTTGTACAATTCTGTCCAAGATAACAATTATATTAAGAGCTAGTTGAAAATGAAAACCCAAAGTTCTGGAATGGAGTTATAATAATATTGTTGGTCACAATAAATTATAAAATTAGTGTATACAACAATTATTAAATGCAGTCCAATTATCTATAGAAAACCTAGTAAATACATTGGCACTTCAAATAATGAGCTAAAAGACTGGGATTATTACCTTGGTTACAGAATGTTTATGCTGTGTTCTGGGTATTTAATATTGGATGGAGAGTAAATTCTTGAGTATCATGATTAGCATATCCCTTGCCTTGTCATGACCGTGTTTGTGCCGTGAGCTTTTCACAGTCATATGAAAACTGCTTTATGAATGCAAAGTGCAAAGTGATAAAATTATTTGGGTGTGGACACCCGATTAGGAACGCTTTTACTGAGCTAACCAATCATAATGTTGAGTGAAAGCCGTAGCCAATATGGAGAAAGCAGAATCAGTAGCATATTGGCTTCATTTAATATTACTTTTCATTTCCACAGATTGTTGCTTACAGGGTTCGTGCTACTCCTTAAACTCCTTGAAAACTCCTTGAATTAAATTCACGTTTTCAAGGGCACTTGAAAAGCTCTTGAATTTTATGATTATAGCGAAACTCCTTGAAAACTCCTTGAATTTTTGCTTTGATCATTACTTACATGGTTTTGAAATAGATCTAGTCAGAAAGATTGGAAAATCAGAAAGTCGGCCATGTGCAACCACTGTGTAAAACCTTGGTATAGTTAGCTGAACATACTCCTTGCATATTCATTTTTGGGTCCTCGAATAGTCTATGAATTTTAAGTGGTTTACCTCTCAGAATGAACCCTGTGCTTAGATTGTTTCTATACGTTCTCTGGCAGAAAGATAATCAGATCTAGACTTTATTGCTTGCTCCTGATTGGTTAAGTTAGGATTCTTTGTTTTCATTCTCTGTTATGATTGGTTAACTTTATCAAAGTGGTCCAATTTGGAGTATCTACACTGGAAGTGCAATATATTAAATAAGAAAAAATTCATACATAAAGGCTGAAAAAGATATATAGTTATAAAAGGTTGAATGCTGGCTATTGCAGATGACACTTTCCAGACTTTCGTGGCCCTTGTGCATATTGATTCATTAAGCTCTACTGGCTGTGGAAGTTGCACCCGCTACCGTTGGTTGTTCTCTTGGTTGGAAGAATTGAGCTGGTTTGTTACGAAGCTGTGGATTAGTAAAAGCAAAACAAAAAGTTTACTAGTAAATCACATAACCCTTCAACCATTCAAAAAACCTGATGTTTTGATTACTGACTAGTTCAATGATTATGAAGCAAATTTCACTAAAAACAGGCAATTAATATCTATTTTTCCCCCATAGCACTCTCACCAGAAGGAGAGTGCCAAGAACAATTTAGTGCTATCCTCAACAGACAAGGACAGTATATGCAATGGAAGCACGGGTGGCATAGTGGTGAGAGTGCTTGCCTCTTATCAATGCGACCCAGGTTCGAGCTCCACTGGGCTTGGTGTTGTATGTGAGTATAGCTGTTGTTAGTCCCTCCGGGCTATCAGTGTCATATGTGAGTAGAGTTGTTTGTGGTTGTGGTGTGGTTGTGGTGCTTGGAGAATTTTTCTCTGGGTTCTCCGGTTTTCCTCCCTCCACAAAATTCAACTCCTAAATTCCAATTTGATCAAGGAATGACTGCCACAGGTTCCTTAACGACTAGCTATTAAGTACCCTCGTAGAAACAAACGAGGACGGTTTTTTTTAGGGGTTGTGAAAGTTATGTTTCTAAAAGGTTAACCAATTACCTCAATAAGGAAAAGTCCAGAAGGCGTAACAGGATGGGTATAAGCATAGAAACACCATGCTCCTAGTCCTATAACAATAACCAGTACCACAAAGACAACTATGATAGCTACAACAGCCCCTGTACTGATTCCAGATGACTGACTAGAGTAGACATCCCTTTTATACGAGCCAGAGTCACCACCACCTCCTGAACACTTCTTGTACTGTTAAATATGAACAATATGACTATTAAATCACTGAAACATTCTGGAAGGATATAATATAAAATAATAATCTTAAATGTTACGTGGTGAGTACAACCCATTCCACACTCACCAACACTATATTTAATATTTTGAGCATATTTTAAAGTTTTTAGATTTTTAGTTCTTAGATTATATTATTTATATTAGCTTTATACTACCAATATTTATTCTTAACTTTCAATATTTTCAGCAGGTCCACATCAGCCTTAGGCTGCCGATATTTGTAGTAGTTTATTAGATTATTATATTATATATTTAATTATAACTACTATAATATGTAAGTTTAACCTGCTTTAACAAATAAAGTATTGATTGATGAAGCACACTAACTTCTAAGCACACAACTATAAACTTGCCTGTTGGTTTTTACTAGGATTCCTTTTCAAACTGACAATTTTCCATATTTCAGTTTATTGGTCAATGTTTAATATTACAATAAATACTTTGCAGCCTCCCTTGAGTGCTTTGTGCTTGCAATTGACCACCCCATGAATTAAAGGGGTCAGTATCAGAATTGACTATAGTGCAGTTTTCGTATGACTGTGAAAAGCTCAGTGCCGTAAGCGTGACATGCTGTGACCGTGATACTTTCTAGAATTTTAATTGGCTGATTTTTTTCACGCGCAATATGATTGGTCTAAAAGTGCTGTGATCTTGGCGTGACCGTGTTGGTGCCGTGATTATGCCGTGTTCCGGGTATTTGATTGGATGGAGAGTAAATTCTCATGCAATTCTCTTGCTGTGTCACGACCGTATTTGTGCCGTGAACTTTTCACAGCCATAAAAAAACTGCACTATGTAATATGTACCCTCTTTTATAACAGAAATAAGACCTTGGTACATGTAATAGTATACCTCTTTGATAGCAATAGTGTCACATGATTTCTTTATCCATTCAACACGATGACGATCGAAAGAGTCAGAGCACCTGTATAATTAAAAATTAATTTTCTGGTATTATTTTGCGTAAGAATTCATGTTTTTTACATTAACCTAATCTATAAGGACTCATCCGTGAATTCAGTGATGATTGCCAAGTGGCATTACTTATTAGTAATAATAATTATTATTATAGTATCATTTCCAGATGTGATGTCATTGATAGTATTGAGGGCAAGCATGAGGCAGGCAAAACTAAAAGATTGGTTTGTTTTGTACATTTTCCCTTGAAATTTCATCAGTCTCATGATGGCCACCAGTGATACTTAAGACAACGTCATTACATCTCAGAATTAAACTTTTGTGTAGTTCCAGAAAATATCCATACCCTCACCATGCTGGGAATTTGTAAAAAGACCCCCCTACCCCAGGAACTTCCAATTGTCTTCCACACAAAATTTTGTTATTTCTCTGATGCCCCTCCCCTCCAGAATTGCCATTTTCCTCCCAGTAACTGAGGAGAACTAGTGACAGAACGTGAAGCTGGTCTGCTAATGAAAATGACTGGAGTCATAAGAAGTGACACATTACCTCTGAAGTTTAAAGCACCAGGAACAAGTAAATACAGATTGGGAGACAGTAAGGTTCGTACACTCTTCACAGCTTTTTGCAGCAATACAGTCTATGATGTAAATAAACATTAATGAAGCAAAAGCATTGAAAGTCAAGGAAACAACTGCTTAGGCTATGCTTAGTGTGCATATATTGAATGAATGAATGCAGACAGGAGGTATATAGTTGCTTTTAAGGAGAGAAAAAGCAAGAAAGAAACAAATTGCACACTTAGTGACACTTCTAAGTGAYACCTAGTGTGAATGGAGCACCGTTTATGACACTATGCACATGTGTGCAGCAAACTTTTCATTAAATAAGTGTAACAAAACAGAATTGAAAACTTAACAGGTTGTTTTATTGTAAAGAAAATAAAACAGCTTTTTCCATGCTCCATTCAGTAATTAAGCATGTAGGAAGTGACATAAGTGCAAAAGAAGTACATGCTGTAAAACAATATGATGATTATTGTTAATTATTTACTTACTTTTGACAGGGAATAAAAGTAATTCTGATCCATTTGATTTGATATCCTTGATTTTATCCACTTTATGATAGATATAGAAGACTCTTACTTTAATCCCTGTAAGTTAAAGACAATGTGAAGAACTGTTATATTCTAAGTGTCAACTGGCAAACATTTTTCTTGCCTTTTACTGGATGGATAAAAAGTATACATTAATTACATTTCTTGTAAAACTTGATCCTTTTACGCTTCCTTCTCTTACCAGTTGATTCATTGTACTTTCGTTTAAGGGAATCAAGGGTGGTGTAGCAATAATGCACTTGCCTCTCGCCTCAGGTCTCACTGAGGTTCAATTCCCAGAGATTTCATCATATGTGATTAGAAAAGCATGGGAAGCACAGGAGGTGTACAGGGGTGAGAGAGTTAACCTCTCACCGATGTGACCCTGGTTTGATTCTCAGACTCGTCGTATGTGAGTCCCAAAGTTGTTCATTGGTTATCTCCTGTGCTTCAAGGGTTTTTTCTCCCGGTTCTCCAGTTTTTCCTCCTTTAGCAAAAATCAACTTCCAAATTCTAATTCCATCTAGAAAGGGCCTGGATGAAAATTACTTTGTGTAAATTTAGTTCCCCTATCAAATTGAATGTGTAGTTTTAGTTTTTTYGCTTTTTATATCGTTTTGTTTTGATTTTTTTTCGTTTAGAGATCTCTCCCCAAAGCTTAAACTAACATGAAAGGATCTTTTTCAATGATTTAAAGATATCCTCACAGACTGTAAAAGTTATCAAACTTTTACTTATTATTTCCCTGATATTTCAAACTGTACACTTACATCTCTTGTATTGAACAGCATAATAAGTCCTGTAGCCAAAAAATGCATCTGATATCCCAACTCTAACAGGATGTTTCGACGCTAAAGGGTTCTTTTCAAGAACTTCGGATGGTGTCAAAGGAATCTGAAAAGTAAAGAAAAAAGTTATTTAGTATTAAATGAAACAAAAATCATGTGCTTGATGACCAGTCCTCCTGTCCATTGACAAAATCATATTTGGTAATATTTAACAATCTGTACTGTAAGTACTTGGTTGATAAGTGGTCGGTTAGTGGTTGTTATGTTAACTGGTAGGTAACGGCAAGATTTTTTTTCTTTTTTACAAAATACAAAGGTGTATTATTTACAATTTAAGAGGGAAACACTAGGTGTTACCCTCTAGATGTTTACATACAATGGTGTATTATTTACAAAATAATGCAGAAATGCAGAATTTGACCATTACACAAAAACGTATTAAAGCGTATAATGGTAAGATAACTGACAGTAAGATAACGGTAAGTGGTCGGTGAACAGAGTTACCGACCACCACCATTACTATTGCCATCATATATGACCGAATGCAACAACAACAACAACAAATAACAACAACAACCTTTATTTACTCATAGGGAGAAGAAAGATACATAAAAACATTTAATACTAGATATCTATTTACAATCATGCAAATTAAAGCAATCAGCATTCAACATGGCAAATTGGCATGATTCTCCCATTTTACACTAAGTCTTGTTCTGTCAATTGAGTCTGGGCGATTCACAATTTGGTTTTGGTTCAAAAGATTGCATCCTTTTGATTGACAGGCAGCAAAAAGTATTCACGACAATTTTATATTGAGAATAGCAGTAGTAATACAATGATTATCATCTTATTTTTACTCACCAATTTGTAAGCAAACTTAATTCTTCCATCTTTGTACAAGGAAGCCTGGAAGGTGAAGGGGCCAGCTGAAAGGAATATTTAATGTTAATACAGAATGAACGAGGCTTGATACTTTATTGTAATAAAATATATGCCTAACAAATCAGAAATAACAATGTACCATGCTACAGACTGTTAATAGTCCTTCATTTCCTCCAGACTCAGTGGTCAGTGAGGGTATTTCGTTCCCTGTCTTGGATGCGCAGGAGACGGACCCTACCCACAGGACAAAAAATAACGGCCAGTCATTTGCCAGTCATGATGAACAGTGAAATTAAATTTAGCTCTGTCATTACCTCATTTCTGCTGCCGTTTAAGCCATGCAACCCCCAAACAAGAAATGTAATCTTGAAACATAAACCAACAGAGGAACAATATAAATCAAATTACCTTCTTCTTTGTTGGAAAGATGAAGGTTTGTCCATTGTACAGTAAACTGTGTTGCTGTAAGGATCAAATGAAACAAACACTTACTCACTTAAGTTTGTAAATTCAAACAATTCAATCTTAGAAAAAAGTGCTCATTACAGGAAGTTTATTTTGAACAATTTAGAAAGCATTATATATATGCATCATAAATACATGACCAAATTGACCACTGTTAACTAAAAAATGTTYGATAGAGTGAAGGCATTTAACCCGTGAAATAAAAATTATTAGTCAACGTGTAATAGTCAAATAGACAGAAAAGAAATCAATGGAATTAAGGTCTACTAATCCTGAGGGGGGACTCCCTTATAAAAGGGGTGGGGTCCTCGTCGGAAATTCCGAAAAAATGACTCCTAAAAGGGACCTGTATTTTGGGAAGAAGGGCRTGGCAGTGATGAAATTTCACCCCTAAGAGGAACCAATCAATAACACATTTTTTTGTTTGGTTTCTCAATTTTATTTGCATCAAATGTCTGCTCTAGCGAATTTATGACGACGTTGTCACATACAATTCGCTTGCCTTTTTGTAGATCTTATACCCTAAAAGGGACCACAAAATTCAGTTGGTGCGCATTCCCGTCGTTATCACCCTAAGCGGGACCAAAACCCTGTTTCCAAACCCTAAAAGGGACGACAAGGACCCCCGCCCCCTTTCATAAGGTAGCCCCCTGGGCTACTAATGTGTGTTAGTCTAATAGCTATTTCACGTGTTTAACAACTTCACTCTAATTCAAACAAATAATAATTTTAATCACATTCATAATTTAAACTTTACATGACAGGAAGCATTAACCAAATCAGATTAGACCAAATTCAATCGTTCCTTCTTCCTGTCATGGCTGAGTTATGTTACTCCTGTCACGGCTGCCATCACATGATGGTGCAAAGTCTCTATATGATGCAAGATATTTACCATTACTGAAGTAGTATATCACTGCACTTTCATTGAGGGATGGGTTGAATGGTGCCATAAATGGGGCAATGTACATGACGCTTGTTATGAGAGATGTTTCCACATAACCAACGTACAAAAAGCCTGTAAGATTAGATACATTGACTAAAATTATCAAAACAATTACTCTTAATTACTTTTTTTCATTCCGCTCTGAATAAAGTGACTAGCTATTTTCAATAAAATGATTCCATTTCCAACAGTTACAGTATAACTTGGTAATAATTTCTCCTTACCCTTCACACTGGTAGATCCAGATGGGAGTTGAAAGAAGTGGTAAGCAAGAGGGTATGTATGTTTACCATAAGGGCAATACATGTAGCGTACTATTATAATTGCTGATAAATTTATATAAAAAAGATTGCCTGATTACATAGGATAGAAATTAATAATTAACTAAAGCTGAGTTATCCTGAGTTAATATAGGTACAAACAAATTTATTGTGCACGTGGGTGGCTGTAATGGAACACAGAGACACTGTTTCATCACAGTCTCTCACCACTATGTAGTTCAAACCTGGGGTTATCAAAGGGATCAATGATTGATTGCACTGCAAATATGAGATGAGTTTGTATAATGCATTAGGGTTTTTAATTTTTTAACTCTGGTTTTCCTCCCTAATTCAAAATCAATGTGGTGTGTGTTGTAATAAAATAACAAGAGCTGTGTTATAGAGCTGAGTGTGGAAAAAAATTTTGATACAAGAGCTCCTTAAAGGGAGTGATGTGTATAAAATATAAGTTAAAAATTATGTCAAATTATAAATTTAATTAAGTGTTAATAATGTGACAAGATGAGACAATAGAGTGCAAACAATATAACCCTGAAACTTTAGTAATACTAAATAGCACAATTTCATGCAAATTCCATTGTTTTCTATTGTTTCATTAGCACTATTTTGTACTATTTAGTAATTAGTGTTTCACGRATTAATTGTTTGCACTCTATAATAATAATGATTAGTATTTTCACACAAGTAAATATGATAAATCCGGCATGCTCATTGGTAACAATATTTACGTCTCATGCTGCTATATTCACCTACAGGTGGATATAACTCTCACACCCTCATTTGCCAATTTGTGCTGCTTGCAGAGATAAAAAGAATTTGAACAAAAAAAACCCAGTCATTTTCCATTATTTATCAAATTCACTGGTGTTAAAAATACTAAAATAATTATTCGCCTTCGGCAAATAGTTATCATTAATAAATTATGAAATGTATTATAATTATACCTCCAGTAGTGATTGTAGCATTGGTGACAGGGTGGCCATAATAAGGAAAGGTAAATTGTAATTGAAAATTCTAAATAATATTAACTATACATTAGTCAAACAAGATTATAAAGATTTCATTAATTTATTGGTTTTGATAAATAATAATTTTTAATGGTTTCTGGAATAATCATGACTAAGTTAATAATCATGCAAAGTTTCATTAAAATGTATGTTTGTTTTGTCATTCTCGACTTTCACATCCCCATAATCCTTTGCGTCTTTGGGGGGTAACCAGAGG